GTGCCGGGCAGCGGGCTGGGGAAGCGTCCCGGGCGGGACAGGGGCGTTCCCAGCCTGATGCCACGTTTGTGGAGAGGGGCAGGGAGGAGCAGGAAGACCCCCAACCGCCTTGCTGAATCTTCCCACCCCTCTTCTAAACCTTACTCCTGATGGATGCAATCGGTGCTAAGCCGGTAACGTCCCTGGCCACGCGTGAACCCCGGAGCTCATCCCGAGAAGCGTCCGCAGTGGTGGCGTTGCCGCGGGGTGGCCCCGGCGGTGCCCTGCGGCCGCCATCGGGAGCCGCTCCTAGGAAGCGTTTCGGTAGCGCTCGAAGCATTTCCTCTCTGATCTTTACGCTTAATATGAAGAGTAATAAAAACACCGAGAGGAAATTGCTTAGTTAAGTGGTTTAAAGCGAGACGTTAATAAGCTTTTTGCCGGCTGTGCAGCTGTATTCGCTTGCAAAGGCTGTCTTAGGGCAGGTTTGCCTTCCGTGGTTATCGGTAATGATATAATTGTTTTCTCAATGTATCAGCAATGTTACGGAGATAAAGGCGCGAGGTACTGGAGTTTGGTGAATGGTAATGCCCGTAATTTAGCAGCTGTGAGCTCCAGCTACTAGAAGGTGTTATTTTCTGTAAGAAAAGGGAGCAGCTCTTATTCTTGTGCATATTGCGAAAGATGAATTTATGTACTTACTGTTCTGTGGATCTAAAGCGAACAGCGACGTTTTATTTTCCCGCCTAGGGATGATAGCTTGTTTTATGGCTACTGGATACTGCATTTTTTGGTGAGGAAGGCAGCATCTAGATATTTTTGCGGGGAAAGGATTGATGTTTTTGTCTCCTGCTTTGTGCGCTCTGCCGTGTGGGTGAGGTCGTGGCTGGTTTGGTCCCGGTCAGCTGCGCCCCTATGGCATCTGTGCGTTCCATGCATCCCCGTGCGGTCGGTGGCTGCTGGGCGTAGGGGCACCGGCAGGACCCCTCAGTGGCACCCAGGAGATGAAAGCCGTAGCCCTTTAGTCCATGGTGTTCAGTGCTTTTACTCTTATTGATGCTATCGAAGCGGTTTTGAACGTTTCAAGGTATGCTCTTGCAGTTCGGCATTCTTTTTTCCTTGCAGAGGGGGATGTTCTTGCTGGTGCCTTAGAGAAGGCTTTCCTGGGAATCCTTGGCCACAAGCCTTTCGGCCAGCCCCCTGCGAGGGAGGGACCAGGAGGATGGAAGCGTGCCATCACCCCGTCGAGCAGCGAGGTTCCCCAGAAGAGCTCTGCGAGCCGCTGGTGGGAGAGCGTGGAGTGGAGCCTGCCCGAGTGGAGCCCATGGCTGGTGGCAAGGGGAGCATCCCGGCTGGGGTCATAGGAAAGGCAGTGATTTTGTTACATTGAGGTCATGGCTTTCAGCTTATAGCTCTTGAAATCCGTGTCTGCCTTCTGCTTGCTGAAGGGCGACTACGAAATGCAAGGTTAGCAAGTCAGCATGGCCCGTAAATGCGTGCGCGGTCCCGTATCGCACAGGTGCCAGCCTTTGCAGGGACCAAAGGCTCGCTGGCGCTCTGGGAAACGCCAGTGCAATGCTAAACCCAACAGCGTTGGGCACTCCAGTGGAACCAGTAACACAATGGTCATTACCAGGCTCCTTGCTGAAGACCGTAATACCCTGCAGCTCGTCCCAGGGCATCAGGCCTTGAGCAGGTCGTCTACGTACAGACTTGGGAATTCTGTAAGGAGATGCTCATCCTGCCGTAGGGACTTCCCATCCGCACCTGAACCAAAGCCTGGCCCCAGCCAGGGCTGCAAGCCTGTAGGGGTGAAGGTTGCTTCTCTAAATCTTGCTGGTGGCTTGCTGAATAAATACCCTCCCGAGTTTCGGGGGGCTAAAGCTGCAGGCAGTTGCTCAGCAGCAATTTGGAGGCTTGCATAGCCTGGAAAAGAGAGTTGTTTGCAGTGTGGGAGCTTCGGCCGGGCTCATGGGTAAAGAAGGGAGCCTGGGTGCTGCCTCCTGCTCCGAGCCCAGGCAAACCTAGGGTTTGAACATCTCTCTCCATGTTAAAGTGTTTGGCAGGCCTCAAATGGATTTATTTATGGGTTTTTTTTATGCACATTTCAACATCAGTTGTGTTTCCTTACTGATCTGGAGCGTCGTACTGGCCCCGGCACTGCAGATGGCTTTGGGAATAGCTTTAAGGGCGTATGCGGGAGAAGGTGTTATGGAAACGCGTGGTGTTCTCCGAGGTCTCCTTCAAGTTCCTTGTCAGAGCCGTGAGTTTGGGGAGGAGGCGCTGAAGAGGTGAAAGCCTTTTAATGGTTTTCATCTCTAACAAAATGCTCGGGGTAATTTTTTCGTGGGTAACGGAGGCAATCTGACCTGCTTCTCAGCGTTGGCTTCCTTGAAGCAGTCGTCTTAAATCCGCTATTTTATTTTCTCTTTTTTTTTTTTCCTTTTGTGGAATGATTTTTCAGCAGAAAATACTTGCTGCTCAGTCAAAGTGTCGTTGCTGCCTCTACCCTTCCACGGTGTCTCTTTGCTCAATAGCAATCTCTTTTTCTCTTATAGAATCCCAGAATGGTTTGGGTGGGGAAAAAGCCCTTTAAGCTCCCCCAGCCCAACCGCTCCTCTACCCCTGCCATCCCACCCCCAAACCCTGGCCCTCAGCACTGCCTCTGCCTGGCTGTTAAATCCCCTCGTCCCATCGCCCCTTCCCTGGGAGCAGAGCCTGACCCCCCCGGCTCCCCCCTCCTCTCAGGCAGTTGTAGGGAGCCATGAGGGCTCCCCTCAGCCTCCTCTGCTCCAGGCTGAACCCCCCCAGCTGCTCCTCGTAAGACTCTTCCATCCATTGGCGTTGCAATTGGAAATGCTGGCGTGAAGGGTTCCTGTATGTTCCTTCACCAAACTGCTTTAGCGTTACTGATCCCATGTAGATTAAAATTTTGATCCTTCCTGTTTGTGAACTCTTCTCTCTTTTAATCCCGCTAAGCTTTACAGAACTGAGCCCCTATTTTCCATAGCAGGTACCGGGTTTAGAATTCCTATGCATATACACCTCGATGTACAGATATGGTTTTCCAGGTGATTTCAGTTTAAATTTCAGACATTCCAAATCGATGAAGAAGTGGGGTTGCTTTGTGTTAAATTTGGGTTCCGTTTTCTTAGAGTTTTAAACCGTTTTGAAATACAGGACGTGGGACCTCCCACCTTCCGAAACACAAGCTTTATACTTGAAGTGCATCTTTATATATAAAGGAGTCAGGTTTGGGGCCTCTCGGGTTGGATTCTCTTATATTGCCTTGCCAGGGCTCCCCGTTTGCACGGTGAGAACAGCTCTGCAGGAGCCTGAGCATCCCTGGAGCGCCACGAAAAGCCCCCTTCCCTGGCGGAGCGTGCGGGCGCTGTGGAGGCGAACGCTTTATTAAGTCTCCAGGAACACTTGACTTCAATCACGGCCTTTACAAAGTTTTTGTCTTGCTTGTGAAGTTTGCGCCTTTTCGGTGCTTCTTCTGTTATCTACCCAAATCAAGTGCAAACTTTAGCCCAGTTAAGATATTTTTATTTTTTTTTTTTTTTCCTCCTCACTTAAATTATGGCAATAAAACTACATGCAGTGTGCTCATGGGCAAGGCTTGTAGTTCTGACCCTTTCATAATATTGTCCTACCC